TACATTAAATTTATGAAATTTAATGTACTTTCAATAAAATTTTATGAAAAGTACATTAAATTTACATAAATTTTCATGAAAAATACATTAAATTTTATGTATATGTATTATACACAAATATACTTTTTAATCTGGAGACGCTGATAGTGTCTCAGCGCTAAGCTGCGCGAAGCGACACTGCCGTGCCTCCTTTACGCGAACCGACGAGTTGCGGCAGATCGAGATTATCGGATCTCAACAACGGCTGAACCGATCGCGTTCTATGTATACTCAATCGATAGCCACCACACGGATTGTACGATAAAAGTGCTTTTATTTTTTTTCTACGTGCCCTACGAGCGGAGATATCGCGACGCAAAGTTCCGAATTGCTACTTTTCAGATCATCAGATTCAGATACGTCGTTATTATTATCATGTTGGTTATTGTCGTCGTCGACCAGGAGAAAATGTCCATCTCGTTTTTTCGACACTAGAGGGTTTTTGACTTAACCTAGCGATGGCAGCATTGCACATTCGAATGTAATCAACCACACATGACAGCTGTGATAATCAGCGATGGCAATATTATCACATTTACGATGTGACGTGCACGCGGTGTATTATTATTATAATTAATTGAAATTAAAATAAAATATAATTAATAAAATAAATTAAAATAAAATATTAATTATAAACACTTGTGAGTTTTAGCATTTTACTGCATCAGTGTGATAATTTTTAAAACAAGGTGTTATACACAATGGAATGTTATTGCAATCCCCACACATGAAACTAACGAATTGAGACTTTCCATTTTTGTAGCACAAAACACATCGCTTTCTGACAGTTTTTTTTTCTCCAATAGCAGATGGAAAATGCGGATTTGCATATCTCATTGGATTTGTTTTACAAAAATTATTTTTTCTTGCTTTAAAATCTTTGTTACCGTGGTGTTCAAGGAGTTCTCTGGCTAGTTGGTTGCGAAAATGTAAAAACTTCAGTTTCTTATCAGCGTGAACAGTATTATAAACAACCCAAGCATTGAATATGGCTAAGTCAAGTAAATGAAAGAAAGTTTTGATGTACCATTTTTGCGATTTCCTTAGAATTTCATATGGCGTAATGCATTGATCAGATAAATCAACGCCGCCCATATTATCATTATATTCCAATACAATATTTGGTTTCTGCTTTTTTTGCTTAGTATGATAGTCCACTTTATTAGTTACAACCATTTCAGGCGCATGTTTGGTAGAAAGCATAGTCACCAATCTTTTATCTTTCCATAGCATATATGTCATTCGCGGAGAGCTAAACACCTTCATCTCGCCATTTTTAATTTCCTTTTTATTTACTTTTGGGAGTTTTGCTCGGTTTGGTCGCACAGTTCCACAAACATTGGTTTTCGCATTATGCAATGTCAGGAATAGCCAGGGTGAACTATACCAATTATCGATGTATAAAGAACGCCCTTGTTCACCTAAATCGGAAAGCAGGTCCATCACTACATTTCCGGATATGCCAAGTAGTGATTTCTTGTTTGAATCATTTTCATCTTTGCCTACATAGATCTTAAAATTATATACGTATCCATTTTTTGAATCACACGTTTCATACAATTTTATTCCGAAACGAGCTCGTTTGTTTCTATTGAATTGTTTGAAACTTAGCCTCCCTTGCCATTTCATCAGAGACTCGTCAATAGAAATATTTTCGGCAGGTCTGTAAATGCTTTGAAAGCGATCTTTCAGATATTCAACGACTGGCCTTATCTTATAAAGCTTATCTTGTGAATCTGTTTCAGGCGAAAAATGCATCATCGCAAGTATATTCTGAAATCGTACAAGTGTCATACACTTTGAGAAAAATGGCGTTTCAAGCATAGGATCTTTACACCAATACATCTTAATTTCTGGCTTTTTTACGATCCCCATCAGTATAAGCAATGCTTGAAAAGTGTACAGTTCATCCATAGTGATTGAATCGCACTTGTTGATTCTTGAATGTTGCTTTAGCTTATTAGCATTTCTTAAATCCGCTAATTTATTTTTCTTATACAAATTACTTTGACAAGCAATGATGTCTACAAATTCTTCTTTAAGGAAAGCTTTAAAACTATCAATAGAAGAACTATTTTTATCTATTCCACAACCCTTTTGTAAACCTGAATAAGGATCGTTGAAAGTATGAATTATTGGTTCAAAATTAGCGTTTTCATTGAAAGTTAGATTTTTTAACAATTGATTCAATCTTTCATCTAATGGAATATCATCAGAATCAACATATTCCAAATCTTCTTGATCCGAATTTTCATCACAACTGTTTGATGAATTACTTTCTGTATCATTATCTGTAATTTCCTCCGCAAAAAAATCATCGTCACTTTCTTCCAAATCAGACAAATTGCAGTCAGAAGATACAGGTGAAGGTGATCGTGTTCTCTTCTTAGATTGTTTTGTCATTTTTTTGAACTCGGACATGTTTTACATTTATTTGTAAATATCGCGCTGGAACGAATCAGTCCGGCTCTTTATATACGAAATGAAATCAGCGACCCAAAAAACCCCCAGGGCCAAATTTTGGTATATTTTAGTTCACAATTGACGCCTACCACTTTTGGCACGGAATGTTTTAAAAAGCCTACCACTTAACCGGTTAAACAATAAACCTGATGTTTTAAAATTGTTTGCACATCGATGTGAACATGGAATGAATAATTCGAATACCTATGAAATACGGCAATATTTAGGGGAATATTTTTCGGTTGCTATTAAATGAGATGCCTTAGAATTTCTTACAGCTCTTTGTACAAAATATGATTATATGAAAAATATGGTAGAACATCAAGTTACTTATATTTGTCGATGCAATTTGTGTGGTAATACGAAAGTTATTACTAATACTAATATTTTACTTTCAATTTCTATTAACAATTTGAAGAAGAAAAGTTATAATCTGGATGATTTATTAAAAACATTTTCATCACAATGGTGTCAGTCGTTTGATAAATTATGTGAACGTTGTGGAAGAAATGATATATATTTAAAAGTGAATTAGTTTCGATAAAAGAGAGAGATACTTATTATTCACTTAATATCTTTTATTTCAGAGATTAAGTTAGTAAAGGTACCACACAAATTTAGTTTCCGTGCTGTTCCGACAACGAAAATATTAATAGCTGGACAGATGTACAAAGTTATGAATGCTATATTTCATTATGGTTCATGTGTCGAAGAGGGTCATTATACAAGTATGTGTCGAGAAGGAACATCTTGGATCGAAATTGATGATGTACAAGTTATAAAAAAAACAATGGCCTAGAGGTGCTAAAGATATTTCTATATTATTTTTACAAAAAAATATTATCAAAAATATATAATAAGTGATATGTTAAACTATAATGATCACTTACATAAATGATTTAATATATGTTAACATGGACGCCAAGTTAAATACCGCAACATTTTATGTATTACTTGTACAAAATATTTGATATCAACAATTGATGTTAAGTTAAATTAAATTTTTAACACGGACGCCAAGTTAAATTCCACAACATTTTATGTATGACTCGTACAAAAGATTTGATATCAACAATTGATGCTAAGTTAAATACTTCTATATAGACGACCATCGCTTCTCATATATCTTGACATTTTTATATCACAATTATAAAACGATGGGGGTGGTGGTGGGATTTTTTTATTATATAGAAGACCATCGTCTTGATATGATATTGTTACGTCCCCGAATTTTAAACATTCTCAAGGACAAATTGTTGTAAAAAACATAACCATGTAACCATATTTAGAGATAAGACTAATTCTGTATCCACTTATTTGTATTATGATGTGCTATTTAAGACGCCATATTATTGACTAGCA